AATTAAATCATAGTGAAAAAAAGGTAATCATACCCATATCTTGTGTGTTTATGTCCTTATGTGTATAGATACATTTTCATTTTTTTTTTTTTCTTTTTTTTTTATGAATTGATTAACTTGGTTACCATGTACCTGAAGACAAGTGTTTGTATTCACTGATTATACATATATGATAAACATACATTGGAAATTAGATAAAATTGTCTTCAAAGTGGATACAAGATCATAGTTACATTTATGCAATGTAGGATTTTAGATAATTCATATCACACATGTTCTTTTCTCACTAGTTTTGTATGATCTGATTTATAAGTGAAATTGTGTTGCAGGTGCAAATATGAACTAGTTATTGAAATTTGTTACCTTTTATTGACATGATTATTGTTATACCACATTTAGATATAAAACCATTGCTGATGCTAGTGCTAATGGGTTGTGATGTGTTACTTATTACAAAATCCTAATCTTTAAGTACAAGCAGTAATTATAAGAGAAGCTTTTCTAAAAAAAAAGAAAAGAAAAGGAGAAGGAGGAGAAAGAGGAGAAGGAGGAGAAGAGGAGAAGGAGGAGAAGGAGGAGAAAGAGGAGAAGAGGAGAAAGAGGAGAAAGAGGAGAAAGAGGAGAAGAGGAGAAAGAGGAGAAAGAGGAGAAGGAGGAGAAAGAGGAGAAAGAGGAGAAAGAGGAGAAGAGGAGAAAGAGGAGAAGAGGAGAAAGAGGAGAAGAGGAGAAAGAGGAGAAGAGGAGAAGGAGGAGAAGGAGGAGAAGAGGAGAAGGAGGAGAAGGAGGAGAAGAGGAGAAGGAGGAGAAGAGGAGAAGGAGGAGAAGGAGGAGAAAGAGGAGAAGGAGGAGATGAGGAGAAGGAGGAGAAAGAGGAGAAAGAGGAGAAAGAGGAGAAAGAGGAGAAGGAGGAGAAGGAGGAGAAGGAGGAGAAGGAGGAGAAAGAGGAGAAAGAGGAGAAAGAGGAGAAAGAGGAGAAAGAGGAGAAGGAGGAGAAGGAGGAGAAAGAGGAGAAAGAGGAGAAAGAGGAGAAAGAGGAGGAGGAGAAGAAGGTGAAGAAGAAGAAGAAAAATGCACATAAAAAGAAAACAGGAAATGAGAAAGATGAAAACAAAGAAGGAAAATATGGAAAAAGAAAGAATTTCGCAACACCAAATAGTATTCATGCTTTCAGGAAATGTTAGTCGAGGGCACCCAGGCCATGGGCATTGGACAGCTGACCCTGAAGAATGAAGCCCTCTACCTCGACCACTCTCCTTTGGTCCCGTACATGGTTACGACCCGAAGTAAACAGGTGAGGAATTTATTTATGTCACGGTGTCATCATTATTTTTTTTGAAAGATTAGAATGTCTCAAGAATGTTATCCATATTTCTTATTATGTATATATATATATATATATATATATATATATATATATATATATATATATATATATATATATATATATATATATATATATATATATATATATATATATATATATATATATATATATATATATATATATATATATATATATGTATGTATGTATAAAATATAATGTAATGTAATGTAACATAATATAATGTAATATAATATAATATGATATATGATATATAATATATAATATATAATATAAGAATATAAGATATACAATATATAATATGTGGTATATAATATATACTATATAATATCACACACACACATACACACACACACACACACACACGCATGCACGCACGCATGCACGCACGCACGCATGCACGCACGCACGCACGCATGCACGCATGCATGCACGCACGCGCGGATGGACGGACGGACGGACGGACGGACGGACGGACAGAGAGAGAGATTTAATTACTCCTTTCATTTCTAGTTTCCATTCTCCTATGCCACAAACATTTACTACAATCAGCTTTATTAAATTTCAGGCCATTGTGGAGGAACTTGATGGACCAGTACCCTATTTACGGGTACTTAGTGTGATCACTGCATGCGGAGTCGCCTTCTATAGCTACCGGTGAGTCTGCGGTTACTCGGGATTTGATGTCTCAGTTTTGGGATTATTGCTGCTCGATGTGACTTTCTGAAGGTTGTTTAGATTTTCCCGTGGTGTTGTTCTAGCCTCTTCCCTTTGCAAAGATTTTACAGAAATTATGTGGAAGGAAAAGGAGCATTTTATATAAATTATTGTGATATCCGAAGAACTAATATCACTTCTCAAAATAGAAAATCTTGGCTGACAATTTTCATCTCTGAAATGGTGTCTCTCGTTACCTGTGTTTTTTCCCTGTTTTCTGTACTGAAAAACTCCACTTTCCTAACCACTCTTCTAAGTTTGTCCTTTAAGTATCATCCCTCCTGTGTTTTAATTCCCAGTCGTAATCTCCAGAGAACACTATAATCTCAAGTCAAAGAAAGCATGTCATCCAGTGCATAAACCCCCAAGTATATTCAGAGGACATGTCTTTGTTGCCTGTGTGCTTTTTTCTGCATGGCACAACTCCCTGAGTCAGCCAGTTCTAAACTAAGATGAATGCTATTCTGCCTTGGCCCCTCCAGAGAAAGTCTCTTGGTTCACCCAATATATACGTAATTCAATTCCCTCCAGAGCCTCTTAGTTCATCCAGTAAATGTACTTCATTCACATTTTCTCCAGTGCTTTACATCCAAATCCTCCTGTGTGGGTATTATAAAACAAGATCCATTTGTAAAAAATATTTATAGTCCTTTCTTTGTCAAAATAAGTTGTGACCCTCCTACCTCTCTGCTGTTCGGTGCATGTTTCCTCAGATCGCTCTACCACTTGTATTCTAGCTCTTATTTGTCCTATAATCTGAATATAGAACTGTTGAGCATGTAGTATCTTCTTTTCCCTCCTCATTAGATGCGCAGTGTTCCTGTCTGGAATGGCTATAAGCTGAATTTTAGGATTTTCCTCCTACACCTTCTTTCCCTTCTTTGATTAATAATTGTATGTAACTTATTCCCCAATACCTAACTTCCACAAAGTTTTCATCCTCTCTTTCTAGAGTCAAATTGTGTTTATCTAAAACAATAATAATGATGACCATCCAACAAAAACCTTTGTCTTCAGTAACCTTCACTTCACCACACTGTCTCCCCATGCAGCATCCTGAAGCGCTGGTACCGCAGCTGGCGTAAGGACATCCGCCGGCGTGACGAGCAGCGTGTGCTGGATGAGGCCCGGGCGAGGCGTGAGGCCCAGGGCAATGACCTCCCAGAGAGCCTCATGTGCGTTGTCTGCTGTGGGCTCCGCGACGTCCTGCTGGTGCCGTGCCGCCATGTGTGTGTTTGTAGTGAGTGTGCGCTGAAGCTCAACCCCAGAGTGTGCCCCGTCTGCCGGACAGATATTGAACGGATCCAGCCTGTCTTCTACTCGTGATTGAGTCTTCTGTTAGTCAGTCCTGGGCCCAAATGTGTGCTATCAATTCTGTGATACGTGCTCAAGATTTTCTCGCGCTCTTTTTCACCAATGTACGTAAGAACTTCATGGATGTTGTACAATTGTATATATTATAAACCCAAAAGAAAAATAGGATGAAGTATATTTAGAAAGCTTGTGTCAGTGAGCATGATAGTCAGTATTTTAGTCAAAACATATATACATATATATATATTTGCAGCTGTCAGTAACTTCCATGACTGAGGGAATCTGAATGTGCCTTTTTTTTTCTCTAGTCACATGATAGCTCTGTTCATTTATGCACATTATATTTTCTGTTGAGTTATTATACATTGGTCAAAGTTTATGTTCTTAGTACTAAATATGTAGGTGTTCATGAATTAGTTGTAGGAGAAAGAAAAGAGAAATTGTAGGTTAATAAGATGCTACTTTTATTTGACTTCCTGGTAATCCTAATAGGCAGCTTATTGGTGAGATGGATATGAAGATGATAAAATATGTAATGAGAATAATAAAAGTAGTTTTCTTTGATTTCTTAAATTATGCACAATTCATTACTATGCACTGGTTTATGTTTCCTAATTAGTGGGCAATATATAATTATTAAACTAAGATTTCAGGTTATTAGAAATTTAAAGTCCTATAAGGTATTGCCACATGTTCAGTTGGCAAGGTGTGGTGATGTAGCATGAGGACGGAGAATACATGGGAAATAGACAAATAGAAGCATGACTTATGTATCAGACAGAAGCACTGACTTTGCATGAACAGATCTGTAAGCCTGCCTTTTGGTTGTGAATAGTATTGAGAGAGATTTTGTAGCTCAGTGGCAGCAATCTACAATTCAGTCACACACACTGGCAAACTGCATTGAGGGACAGGATCACAGGGGAGTCAGTATATGTATATATATTTATGCCTGGTTATTATGCTTAGAAACTAGTGAGTCCCATGCTTAAGCACTATGCTTGCCCCCTGGTTGTGTGAGATGGTCTTGAGATGGGTTGCAACATCATCAACCATTTGTGCAAATTAATAATTTCAGGTGAGTTATTTGTGTAGGTTTCAAGTTGTAAATACCACTGATGGGGAAAATTGATGATGTTTTGTAATTGCATGAAAATTATTACACCTGATTTGTTGTGACCGATTATGTGAATTATATGCTTTAGAGGAAGTGGATACTTTCTTCTACTGAATACCAGTAAATAAACTTTTGTTATTTCATTATAGAAGGTTTCA